TTCCTTGACTCATGTCTCTTAACAAATTGAAGAAAGATCTGTGAGGACATTATTTGTCCACTGGATAGGGGCTTGTCTCAATGTAATTTTTCCCAATCCCTTCATTAAAATAGGTAATTGACATTGCTGGTGCTGCAGTAAGCAGCCGCCAGATGCAGTGGGTCTCCAGTGACAGCTCCTTCAGTCTTTATGTGTTGCTAAGACAGACGCCTCAGCAATACACCAAAGGCAGGAATTGAGAATAGCCTCCAATTTCCATATGCCAAGGAAACCATTATTACCAATCACAGTACCGCTAAACTGGTAATGTCGGTAGGTGATGTCTTTTCCCTCGGGGGATTACTGAGAAGACAGCCTATGTGTCACCATATTACCAGAGGGCTCCGCTGATATTTTATTTTAATCTATATTAGCCTCCTTAGATATTGTAAGAAAAAGCCCATTGATACCATTTTGAGCTTCCAGTCAACTATGTTAGAGGAACACTTATTTATTTATTTATTATTTATTTGGAGTGCTTCTACCCTGCCCTTCTCAACCCCCTAAGGGGGATTCAGGGTGGCTTACAAAAGGCACAATTCGATGCCCAACAATTCACAAATACAATATACAATTTACAATATAACGACGACAGTTATAACTAATTAAAACAGTCAAATTAAAACAACAGCAGCAATAAAATCATCTTGTGATCTCTCCCAGCGGCTTCATGTAGATGTTAAACAACATCGGGGACAGAATTGATCCCTGTGGGACCCCACACGACAATGGTTGTGGGGCTGAACAGGTGTCACCCAGTAACACCTGGGACCATCCCTCAAGAAAGGACCGGAGCCACTGCAAAGCAGTACCACCATGTCCCATGTCCTCGAGGCGTCCCAGAAGGATACCGTGGTCAACGGTATCGAAGGCCGCTGAGAGGTCCAGCAGAACTAACAGGGACACACTCTCCCTGTCCAGCTCCTGGCGAAGATCATGTACCAAGGCTGTCTCAGTTCCATGTCCCGGCCTAAAGCCAGACTGTGCCGGGTCTAGATAATCAGTGTCTACCAGAAATCCCTGGAGTTGTGTTGCCACCACATGTTCCACGACGTTGCCCAAGTAGGGGAGGTTGGAAACTGGTTGATAGTTGTCGAATTGAGTGGGGTCCAGTGATGGCTTTTTCAAAAGCAGTTTTATAACAGCTTGTTTTAAGCTCGCTGGAAATTTTCCTTCCTGTAAGGAGGCATTAACGACCACCTTTACCCAATCCACCAATCCCCCTCTGGCTTCTTTTATCAGCCAGGATGGGCAGGGGTCTAGGATGCATGTGGTAGGTCCCACTTCTCCAAGGATCCTGTCCACATCCTCAAGCTGAACCAATTGAAATGAATCCAATAAAACCAGACAAGCAGGTGCTCATGTTACATCCTCAGAGACTGCTGTTAACATGGCGTTGAAGTCAGACCGGATTAACGCAACTTTATCCACAAAGAACCGAGCAAATGCTTCACAGCGAGCCACCGAGTCATCACTAATGTATCTAGAGCAGGGTGTCGGAACCCAGAAACCTCCCACTCACAGATTTTCCATCTGATCCGGATTAAATTACTGATTTTATCCTTCATCCATGGTTTCCAAATAACCATGACCTTCAGAACTTACATGGTGCTATTGATTCAGATGGAATGGAGAGTTGGTGTGATCAATTTACAAATGGCAACATATACCCAAATCCCCTAATTACGCCCCTAGCAGTTTATTATAAATACTAAATAATTTGTGAAAGGAATTTTTACAATGGCATACTCAACACCATCTAATTTATTTATTTATTGAATTTATGCCTTGCCTTTCTCCCAGGATGGGATCCAAGGTGGCTTCTAGAAGTTTGAAGCAAAATTAAATTAAAATCTTATTTTACAAAAGTAAATAAAATGGATAGGTTTTCCCCTGTCATGAAGTCTAGTCGTGTCCAACTCTGGGGTGTGGTGCTCATCTCCATTTTTAAGCCGAAGAGCCGGCGTTGTCTGTAGACACCTCCAAGGTCATGTGGCCGACATGACTACATGGAACGCTGTTACCTTCCTGCCGGAGTGGTACCTATTGATCTACTCACATTTGCATGTTTTCAAACTGCTAGGTTGACAGAAGCTGGGGCTGACGGGAAGCTCACACCGCTTCCCGGATTCGAACCTGCGACCTTTTGGTCAACAAGCTCAGCAGCTCAGCGCTTTAACCCACTGCGCCACCGGGGGCTCCAAAATACAAGAGACTGTTTACAAATAAAATGGATAACAGTATATTAAAGCCATGATAACTTTTATGGAGATACATTTTAGTGTGTGTATTTGTGGTGTCTTTGCTGTGCTTATGTATTTTAATTGTTTTGTAACTCGCCTCAAGCCATGAGGAAAGATGCGTAAAAATAAAATAATAATAATTATTATTATTATTATCAAAGCAGTGAAATGCATTTAAAATATATTTGCTATTAATGTTAAAAATAAAAGAAACAGCACACCACTTCTTGCATATCCCTGTTATAATTTACAATACAAAAGGCTGTTGAAATAAAAAGGTATTCACTTACTAATGGAAAGAGCAGAGAGGTGGCCAGTCAGCCTTCCCATAAAAATAATAATAATAAATTATAATAAACTTTATTTATTACCCCGCCACCATCTCCCCAATGGGGACTCGGAGCAGCTTGCATGAGGCCAAGCCCAAATACAATTACAATAAAGAAAAACCAAAAACACAAACCAAAAACGCGAACAATAAACAATAACAGTATAGTTACATAAAACATGAATCCATAACAATAAAAAATATGCACAGGCACAATAATAATGGGCGGGCAAAATTTAGTAATTAAAAGGACAAACTGATTAAAACTAATTAAAAATTCGAGCGAGATAAAAGAGATAAGCAGGTAATTTACGGAGGAGGCTCATTTTAGCGGGAGTTATGGAATCAAGCTTTCCCATGAGCGGGGACGTACTCCAATGACAGAACTTTGAGGCAGAGCAATCATGTGGGATTATATACCTACTCATCAAAGGCGCAGCGGAAGAGCCAGGTTTTCAGGTTCTTTTTGAAGATTTCTAAGAAAGGGTGTTCCACAGCCTGGGAGCAGCCACAGAGAAATGTGCTTGTGAAGATGATGGGACCAAAAGAAAGTCCCCCCCTGCAGATCTTAAAATGCATGCTGGCTTGTAAACAGTCTCTTGTATAGTCTAGACTGCAGACCTAAGCCATACAGGTTTTCAAAAGTCAACATCAACATAATTGTGCCCAGAATCAAACTGAGAGCAAGTATTTATTTTATTTGTCGTGTAAGGGCAACCAGTCAATTATATTACATTTCTAACAGAACAAAGCAAACAAACAGACAAAATACAAAATTGTGAGTTTGGTAGTTGATTAAATGTCCTTTGACCAGTATCTGGCCACTTGGAGTGCTTCTGGTGTTGCCGCAAGAAGGTCCTCCATTGTGCATGTGGCAGGGCTCAGGTTGCATTGCAGCAGGTGGTCAGTGGTTTGCTCTTCTCCACACTCGCATGTCATGGATTCCACTTTGTAGCCCCATTTCTTAAGGTTGGCTCTGCATCCTGTGGTGCCAGAGCACAGTCTGTTCAGTGCCTTCCAAGTCGCCCAGTCCTCTGTGTGCCCAGGGGGGAAGTCTCTCATTTGGTATCAGCCATTGATTGAGGTTCTGGGTTTGAGCCTGCCACTTTTGGACTCTCTTGCTGAGGTGTTCCAGCGAGTGTCTCTGTAGATTTAGAAAACTATTTCTAGATTTAAGTCGTTGACGTGCTGGCTGATACCCAAACAGGGGATGAGCTGGCGATGTCTCTGCCTTGGTCCTTTCACTATTGGCTGCTACTTCCCGGCGGATGTCAGGTGGTGCAATACCGGCTAAGCAGTGTAATTTCTCCAGTGGTGTAGGGCGCAGACACCCCGTGATAATGCGGCATGTCTCATTAAGAGCCACATCCACTGTTTTAGTGTGGTGAGATGTGTTCCACACTGGGCATGCATACTCAGCAGCAGAGTAGCATAGCGCAAGGGCAAATGTCTTCACTGTGTCTGGTTGTGATCCCCAGGTTGTGCCAGTCAGCTTTCGTATGATGTTGTTTCTAGCGCCCACTTTTTGCTTGATGTTCAGGCAGTGCTTCTTGTAGGTCAGAGCACAGTCCAAAGTGACTCCCAGGTATTTGGGTGTGCTGCAATGCTCCAGTGGGATTCCTTCCCAGGTAATCCTCAGAGCTCGGGATGCTTGTCTGTTCTTAAGGTGAAAGGCACATGTCTGTGTTTTAGATGGGTTGGGGATCAGCTGGTTTTCCCTGTAATAGGCAGTAAGAGCACCTAGAGCTTCGGAGAGCTTCTGTTCAACCATCTCAAAGCTCCCTGCTTGAGCAGTAATGGCACGATCATCAGCATAGATGAAGCTCTCTGTCCCTTCTGGCAGTGGCTGGTCATTTGTGTAGATGTTGAACATGGATGGAGCAAGCACGCTCCCCCGAGGCAGGCCGTTCTTCTGTTTCCGCCATCTGCTTCTCTGGCCCTGGAACTCAACAAAAAAGCTCCTGTTTTGTAGCAGGTTTCCTATGAGGCGGGTGAGGTGGTAGTCCTTTGTGATATTATACATTTTTCTCAGGAGGAGGCGGTGGTTCACAGTAAGAATGCAAGTGAAGTTGTTTCAACAGATGGGCACTGTAATTCCTGTTATTAGCTCTAGTCTATAGGCTGGCTGTGGCATTTTTAGTTTGCTAAAGTTTCTGAATAGTTTCCAAAGGCAACCTCAGTTATAGGACTTTACAATAATCCAAGTGAGATGTGATGTAGCAGAGTAGCTCAGAATGTTGTGCTTGCAGAACAGTCTCATCTATAGAAATTTAGACACCTATGATTATATTATATCATTTCTGTGGACTTCTTGAAGTGTGTGTATGTGTCATCTGAAATACTGCCATTAGCTCCTCCACCCACTCAACATTCCTGTTAATTTTCAACAGAGCAAACAGAAGGAGAATGAAAAAGAAGGATCATCAAATTCATCAGCTGATGATGGACCTGGAGATGGATTCACTATTCTCTCCTCCAAGAGCCTTGTTCCAGGACAGAAGGTACTAAGTCAGAGAACAGAAGAGGGAACAAGAAATACTGCAGGCAATGTCCAGCAGAAAATGCTCAAATCTTGCACTGTTTTAGTCAGGTTTTCACCAGGAGTCAGACACTCTTCTTTAAAGCAAATAACAGAGTTGGTCTTACATTTTCACAAATTCAACCATCTGCTCCTTGAAAATATTTTTTAAAATTCAAAAAGTAAACCTTGATTTTGACATATATAAGGGATTGCATTTTCTACACCATTGCATTTACAGTAGTGGATTCTGAGTATCCAGAGATTTTGATATTCACAGAAGAGTTCTGGAACTCAGCCCCAGTGGATACCAAGAATCCACTGTATTTCTTTTGAGAATTTCACCAGAAAATTGCCTCTCTGTGGTTTCTCATGTCACAACTGTATGTTTTACTCAAACATTTCTTTCCTGTACAAAATCAAACATTTGCTCCATTTTTTTCATTTTATGCCACTGTTTGTGAAGGTTGATTGATGTCTAGTCCCATGTTTGTGCTAGGAGTCACATGATGAAACGGAATGGCAGTAGCTTCCGAGTGGAAAAGGGGAGGCATCATTTTACACGGTGGATAATTAACATTAGGTCATTCCCTACCACAGAGTGTCCTTATAGATACTAAGATATAATAATAATAATAATAATAATAATAATAATAATAATACTTTATTTATATATCGCTCCATCTCCCCGAAGGGACTCAGAGTAACATCCCAGGTAACATCACAAAACATACAAAGTAAAAACAACATAACCATAAGATTAACAAAACAAAATATAAGCATAAAATTGTCGCCATAACACACATATATTAAAAGTAATCCTGCCTGTTCAAGGCAATTTAAAAATTTAAAAAGCCGGGCCAAGATTTGTGCAAGCCTAAAAATTCTAGGGGGCCTGGGAATTAAGTGCAATGCTATGGCAGGCAACAATAATATTAGGTACAGGTCTGTGGCTGTTCATTCCGGGGCCAATTAGAGGAAAGAATCTGGGTAATTGGTAGGAAGAATAAGGCTGTATTCGGCAATGTGTAGGGCTGAGTTAGTACTGGTCATTTTCAAAGGTTTGTTGAAACCGCCAGGTCTTCAAGCTCTTACGAAAGGAAGGGAGGGATGGGACCTGTCTTATTTCCCTTGGAAGGGCCACCACCGAGAAGGCCCCCTCTCTCGTCCCCACCAACTGCGCTTGAGACAGTAGTGGGACCGAGAGGAGGGCCTCCCCGGAAGATCTTAGAGCTTGCACCAGTTCATAGAAAGAGATGCGATCGCGGAGATAGGCGGGGTCTGAACCGTTTTGAAAATGTTTAAACTGAATAAAATTATAAATTATATTTAAATGGTTCAACAGGTTTATGGAGAATAGGTCTGTCAGAAGCAAGAGCTAAATAGACTCTCCACTTTTAGAGACTATTAGATACTGGGGATATACAGTGGGAGAGAGAATTCATTTCCTCATGCACTGATTGTTATCTTGTAGATCTCTGGCTGTCTATAAAACAAAATTCTGATGTGTGTGCATGTATACTTCGTACTCTTAAGTATTCAATACTCACTCACTGTATATGTTTTTTCTTCTACTGCTGCTGTATGGGCAACTTCCAGCTGTCTCTGACACAAAGCGACATCAGTCATATTGGTATTATGAAAGTAGAAGGCATTGTGCACCCAACTACTGGTGAAATAGATCTCAAGGAGGAAGTAGGTAAGACTTTCTTTAAAGGGATACTTGACCATATGAGTATATTGCTTTTCCAGGAGATCTGTTGGTATTAAGTAGTCTTCAAGTCTTTGACAAGGAATCAAAACTGAGTCTGAAGTTTTGTGAAAATTGTACAGCATGACACCTGTACTCTGGCGAATACTTTCCTGGCCTTTGTATGGATTTGCAAAAAGAACCGTATTGAAATGGATGACCTCTGACCCATCAATACCATACAGCCAAGTTGGAGGACCTAGAAAATGCCTAGAGAAAGCAAACGTCGTCAGACATGGATAACAAACCAGATATGGGGTTCATAGTATATATGGTTATGAACAGATGCTTGATGTTTTCCAGTGTGGTTCACATAGTCAGAACTGTATAGATTTCCCCAAGTTTCCGAACTTGATGGCCCCCCACAAGGGTCTGCTTCCAGGGGCAAACCAAGAATGGGCAATGCGGAAGTCCCCGAACAGACTCGGAAGCGGAGTAGGCAGATCAAAAGACAACTTGGCAAACTGGCACTACAGTGTTCCCTCATTTATCGTGGGTGTTACATTCCCGGACCACCCGCAATAAGTGAAAATCCGCGAAGTAGGGACATCATACACCCACACACACAGTATTTACCATCCTGTTTACTGTAAATCCTTTTTTATGATTTATAATATTCTTTTAGTGGTAGAATTAATATATTTATATTTTTTATACATTTTTAAAATTTATTTATTTATTTATTTGCTATGCTTCTATACCGCCATTCTCAGCCCGAGGGCGACTCATGGCGGTTTACAAAACGGCACAATTCGATGCCCACAACAATACAAAAATAATTTAAACATTAAAAATATTTAACACAGGTAAACATTCATTACAATTAACATCAGTAACACAATAAAAACCATAAGTCCTCCGCATTTCATTACCAGTCATTATCCAGTCACGTTGTCCAACCGTTCCGAGATCAGAGTTTAATAGCTACACAGCGTTTGGAAAGACCTGCTCATATAGCCAGGTTTTAACTTTTTTGCGAAACGTTAAGAGGGTGGGGGCTGATCTAATGTCCCTGGGAAGGGCATTCCACAACCGAGGGGCCACCGCTGAGAAGGCCCTATCCCTCGTCCCCGCCAATCGAGCCTGTGAAGATGGCAGGGCCGAGAGCAGGGCCTCCCCAGAAGATATTCAATTCCTAGAGGGTTCGTAAGGACAGATATGTTCAGACAGGTAAGCAGGGCCAGAACCGTTTAGGGCTTTATAGGCTAAAGGCAGTACTTTGAATTGTGCTCGGTAGCAAATTGGCAGCCAGTAGAGCTGGCACAACAGAGGAGTTGTATGCTCCCTGGGCGCCGCTCCTGTTAACAACCTGACTACCGCCCGTTGGACCATTTGGAGCTTCTGAACAGTCTTCAAAGGCAACCCCACGTAGAGAGCGTTGCAGTAGTCTATACAGGATTGTGTAGTTTTAAAAATCAGAAATGCTTTGCCCGACTTACTGAGCAAAGGGCCATTGTGGCGGTGGGCACCCTCCCGCCGGCCATGCTGCTTGCAGGGGGCTTTTTCTTCCCAGAAGCCTCCAGCGCAGCGGAAAGTTTCCTGCTGCTTGGCCGGCTGGCCAACTGGTGTTAGGCCCCATCCCGCCCCTGGATTGGCCAGGACCGGCTTCTGCACCTCACCTCGGCAGCCTTTGTAGGGTTGCCTTGGCCTCCGCAGCGCTCCACAACCTCCGCAGGGCCTGCGGACGCCGAGGGCAGCCCTACTAAGGCTGCCGGGCGAGGTGGGGAAGCCGGCCCTAGCCAATCCAGGGGTGGGGTGGGGCCTGCTGCTGATTGGCCAGCCTGCCAAGGGGCGGGAAATTTTGCGCCGCGCAGTGGGCTTCTAGAAAGAAGAAGCCCCCTGGAAGCAGCATGGCCGACAGGAGGGCGCCCACCACCGCAAAAGCCCTTTCCCGGTAAGTCGGGTAAGGCATTTCTGATTTTAAAACACAAAATGTATAAAAATAAAAATATTAATTCTAAACCCTCACCGCGAAACAGCGAGTCTGCCAAAAGCGAACCGCGAATCAGCGAGGGAACTGTATCTAGTAGAATCCTCCATCTTGTGTGACTGTGAAGTAGAACAAGCAACTCTGCATCTGTATGCCTGTTCACAATGCCCTGCCGCATGCACAGAGGAAGAATTGTTTAAATCTACAGACAATGCGGTCGTGTTGCCTGTTTTTAGTCTAAAATTATTTTGCTGCCTGTTCTCCCTCTATTTTATCTGTTTAATATATGCCATGCTTTGACATGAAAAATATAAATAAATCCCCAAGTTTTCCTGTTTTTCAGACCAGAGCGCATATAAACTATCAAAGATTAAATCCTGCCAAAAATCAATTGATTTCGCTTCTGAATAAATTTCCGTATGATATTTTCCACTTTTACACTGTGCCAGTGTTTTAAAGTAGTACTACCAGGATTCACTGAAAGGAGCATAAGTGTGATAGTAAAGGAGCCAACAAAACTGGTTCTTGTGACATGACATTTCTTTTAAAATCTGTTCTTAAATGAAAGCTCTGCCCAGCCTTGTAATAAAGATCTAACTTCCTTTTTTGTGTGTTTCCCAGGCAAAGCACTGGAAAAGGCTGGAGGTAAAGAGTTCTTAGAAACAGTAAAGGAACTCCGTAAATCACAAGGCCCTCTGGAAGTCACAGAAGGTAACTTTTTATTGCTGTATTCTTAATCATTTTATGTTGTGAGCTGCATCTGGTCCCAGTGTTAAGAGGAACGCAGGAGTACACATAGCATAAATACTTAACTCAGTATTTCCTTCTCTCAGATATTCAGATCTTTCTCCTGCTGTTCTTTGTCATTGAATTAAGCATTTTTATATATTAGAAATGCTTAAAGGAAGTGGTGGTTTAAATATATTTATTTGCTATTAGCCGTCCCTTGCCAGGCGTTGCTGTGGCCCAGTCTGATCTGGAAAATAAAGTAATGAGAAAGTGTTGGTTTCTAATATATGTAATTTCTTTATGCTTGTGGGTAAACAGTATTTCTTGCTGTTTCTTTCTCAGTGTTGATGTGAATATTGTCTGGTTTGCCTATTCTGGAACATCCAACATATAATTGTCCTTCTTTAGGGGCCCCTTTCAAAACTATGATACTATATCTCTCTCTGTGTGAATCATAACTATTTATTTCTATGGCTGAATGGCTCTTTGTCAGGAGGGCTTTGATTACGTTTTCTTGCCCTGGTGAATGGGGTTGGACTGGATGGCCTTAAGTATTTTCTTTTCTTTCTTTTCTTTTCTTTTTTTTGTCATGGGCGTTCTGCGTGGGAAGTTTGCCCCAATTCTGTCGGTGGGGTTCAGAATGCTCTTTGATCGTAGGTGAACTATAAATCCCAGTAACTACAACTCCCAAATGTCGTCTATTTTCCCCAAACTCCATCTTTGTTCATATTTGGGCATATGGAATATTTGTGCCAAGTTTGGTCCAGATCCATCATTATGTGAGTCCATAGTGCTCTCTGGATGTAGGCGAACTACAGCTCCCAAACTCAAGGTCAATGTCTACCAAACCCTTCTAGTATTTTCTGTCGGTCATAAGAGTCCTGTGTGCCATGTTTAGTTCAATTCCATCATTGGTGAAGTTCAGAATGCTCTTTGATTGTAGGTTAACCATAAATCCCAACAACTACAACTCCCAAATGACAAAATCATTTTTTTTAGGGATGGTCACTCGTTGGCCTAGTAGATGAGTTGTGTCCAAATTTGGTGTCAATTTGTCCAGTGGCTTTTGAGTTACGTTAATCCCACAAACAAACATTACATCTCTCTCTCTCTCTCTCTCTCTCTCTCTCTCTGTGTCTGTGTATATATATATATAAATGCTCTGTGCATAATGAGTACCTTAAAAACAAAAGAACCAATGAATGAAATCACACCAAATTTGGCAACAAAACGTCTCACAACACAAGGAGTGACCATCACTCAAAAAATTATGATTTTGTCATTTGGGAGTTGTAGTTGCTGGGATTTATAGTTCACCTATAATCAAAGAGCATTCTGAACTCCACCAACGATGGAATTGAACCAATATGATAGATGCAGTCTCAAAGATTTGAAAGGGACCCCTAAAGAAGGACAATGATATGTTGAATGTTCCAGAGTAGGCAAACCAGACAATCTCCACATCAACACTGACAAAGAAACAGTAAGAAATACTGTTTATCCACAAGCATAAAGACATTACATATATTGGAAACCAACACTTTCTCATTACTTTATTTTCCAGATCACCAGACTGGGCCACAGCAACGCGTGGCAGGGGATCGCTAGTTTTTATTTATATAGATGATCTTCTCTTAATATGCTACATGTCAAAACTTGCTTTTTCAGATAATTATTCCATTGAATAACTGAAATTCTGTACATGTCTATAAATTAATTCAGCTGTGATTATTGCCATATTTAGGTATGGGAATGTAGTATTAAAAATGATAATTTATAATTGTTTCTTAGAATAAAGAAACATTGAAACATCTTATGTGTGAAAATCAAAAGTGTTGCCTTATAATGGTCTACTTACAAATGGTAGCCACTGCCTAAAATAAGAGTCTATTTTTTTTCTTCTTTTTTTCTCTTTAGCTGCTCTCAGTCAGTCCACTGGCCTTGCAGCAAAGTTTGTTATTCATTGTCACATCCCACAATGGGGCTCAGACAAATGTGAAGAACAACTGGAGGAAACTATAAAGAACTGTTTAACTGCTGCAGAAGACAAGAAGTTGAAATCTGTGGCTTTCCCTCCTTTCCCAAGTGGCAGGTATGTATTTCCTCCCTTAACTCTTTCCATTTTAATTGTTTAAGACAAGTCACATGTTAAAATTTTGAATAAATTAATCTATGTTTGACAAATGTAATTATAGCCATTTATAGTTGGGGTACTTGCACCTCTTAGAGCAGCATAGTGCGTAGGTATCCGTTGGATGAAGCTTTTCCATAGTTATATCATTAGCTATAAATCATCTGAGTTCATTGAGTTAGTTTTGTTCAGGCATTTTTTTTGAACTGTCAGAGGATTTTGATGTACTGGCTGAAGCGCTAAGTTACTTCTTAACATTTGGCTGTCTATCTATATAAATAAAAATGTAATTTCGTTTGTGATATTCACAGAACTCAAAAACCAATGGGGGAATTGACACCAAATTTGGACACGTTACACCTAATAACCAAATTTATGTCCTCCACTAAAAAAAAAAAAAACCCAAAGAAACAGCAGAAACCCCAAAAATACCCACAAGGGAAGAGCGGACATTACAGCATTGAGAGCCAAGGGAGAAAGGAAGAAGGGAGGAAAGAAAGAAGGAAGCATGGGAAAGAAGGGTGAGCGCGCCTTGCATAGCCTGGGGGAGGGAGGGAGAGAGAGAGGGGCAACCTCCTCTCTTCCCTCCTCTTGGCTCTTCCCGTTGCCTTTGCAAAGGTGGGCACTTCCAAGGCTTCCAGCCCCCACCAAGCTTCTGAGGCAGGAGAGAGTCTGAAGGGGGACCCACATAGAGGAAGAAGAAGAAGAGGAGGAGGAGGCAGAAGCACAGGCAGCAGTAGCAGCGGACCCCAGGCTCAGAGCCCGTCACAGCCGTTTCCGTTGCAACTTGGTGGGGATGGTGAAGCCAAGCAAAGCAGGGGGGAGCCAGGAGCTGGGGGGGGGGGGCAGAGCCCAAATGAGGGGGGTCTGCCCCTGTCAGGGAGGGAGGACAGTTGGGAAGGTAGCGTAGGATATCTATAGTCCCACAATTTGTTCACGAAACAAAACACACAATAGCATATCCACACTGTGTGTGTGTGTGTATAGGTTAAAGCTAAAGGTTTCCCCCTGACATTAAATCTAGTCATGTCCAACTCTGGGACTCGTGCTCATCTCCATGTTTTACCTGAAGAGCCAGCGTTGTCCATAGACACCTCCAAAGTCATGTGGCCAGTGGTATGACTGCATGGAGCGCCCTTACCTTCTTGCCAGAGTGGTACCTATTAGTCTACTCACATTTGCATGTTTTTGAACTGCTATATGAATTGAAAATCATTCTATCTATCTATCTTTTACAACTTGGCAACATACACATGTTGGCAGAGCAATAGTGAGTGCATATGGGTGTGTGGAGTTGTGAAAATATAGTGGAATTAATGCACATGCAAGATCATCCCACAATAACCCCTCAAGACATGCACTCCAGCAGAGCCACTTATTTCCCGCGTGACTGTGTGTATTTGAGGGGAGAGTTGAGGAAATATAGTAAAATTAATATCCATGTAGGTATTCTCCACAACTTCCTTTCAACATAGATATTACCATATTATCCACATCCATATGTGTATGTGTGTGTGCATGCACTACATCTCCCCCCAAAGAAAGAAAGAGAAAAAGAGGGAGGGAAGGTTGGCCACAGCAACGTGTGGCGGGTACAGCTAGTTCAGATATAAAGCCCTAAACGGTTCTGGCCCAGATTACCTGTCCGAACGTATCTTCTGCTATGAACCATCACATAGCTTAAGATCGTCAGGAAAGACCCTGCTCTTGATCCCACCACTCTCGCAAACGCGGTTGGTGGAGACAAGAGACAGGGCCTTCTCGGCAGTGGCCCCCCGCCTGTAGAACTCTCTCCCTAAGGACATCAGGTTGGCCACCTCCCTCCCGTCCTTCAGAAGACAATTGAAGACCTGGCTCTGGGGCCAGGCATTCGACTAGAGGAGCGGTTCTCAACCTGGGGGTCACGACCCAAAAGGGGGTTGTTCAGCCATTTTCGGGGAGTTGTGAAGTTGCCTTAGCTGGCCCCGCCCCCTCCAAAATGGCTGTCGACCCCCTGAGCCAGCAACATGGCACTCCTGGCAGGCTCCTCCTCTTGCTCTTCCCACAGACCTGTGGGTAGTCAGGCGGAGGGGCTCTGGAGGCAAAGGAACTGGGGAAGAAGACTCACCCTCTGTTCTGGCCTGCAAGGTGAGTAAACTTTTTCCTGCCATCCTCAATGCCTGGCCATCCCAGGAGCCTTCACCGCCCGGTCTTTGCCTCCTTCTGAGCTCAGAAGGGGGCGAGGGATGGGCGGAGGGAATTCTGTATACCAAGTTTGAATCCATTCCATGGTTGCATGAGTTCAGAATGCTTTTGGATGGAAGAGAACTATATATCCCAGCAGCTCCAAAATGTCAAGGCCTATGTAACCCAGTCCTCTCCAGTATTTTCTATTCATCATGGGAGTTCTCTTTGCCAAGTTTGAGTGCATTCTATGTTTGCGTGAGTTGAGAATGCTTTTGGATGGGAGGGAACTATATATTCCAGCTTACTTACTTACTTAGGCGATCCCTCGTTTTCCGAGGAGGATTGTCTTCCAGTATTCTTGTGGGTCCGTATGTGGCTGTGGAGCCCTATTCTTGCTCTGCATCTTCTTCCACAGTGAGGGCATTGGTTTCCAGGTGGGAGGCGGTCTCGGTCGGGGTTGGCTTGATGCACCTTCCTCTTGGCACGCTTCTCCCTTTCGCCCTCCATTCGTACCTCTTCAAATTCTGCAGCACTGCTGGTCACAGCTGACCTCCAGCTGGAGCGGTCAAGGGCCAGGGCTTCCCAGTTCTCAGTGTCTATGCTGGAGTTTTTAAGGTTGGCTTTGAGCCCATCTTTAAATCTCTTTTCCTGCCCACCAACATTCTGTTTTCCGTTCTTGACTTCGGAGTAGAGCAACTGCTTTGGGAGACGGTGGTCGGGCATCTGGACAACGTGGCCGGTCCTCAGCGGAGTTGATGGTGGAGGACCATCGCTTCAATGCTGGTGGTCTTTGCTTCTTCCAGCACGCTGACGTTTGTCCCACTGTCTTCCCAAGAGATTTGCAGGATTTTCCGGAGGCAGCGCTGATGGAATCGTTCCAGGAGTGGCATGTGACGTCTTTAGACAGTCCATGTCTCACAGGCAACTCCCAAATGTCAGGAAAATAACCCCAAAACTCTCCAGTAATTTCTGTTGGTTATGGGAGTTCTGTATGCCAAGCTTCTTCAATCCCATTTTTGTTGGAGTTCAAAATGCTCTCTGATGGCAGAGGAATTATAAATCCCAACAACTGCAACTCCCAAATATCAAGATCCATTTTCCCCAAACTCCAGATCCATAGTAATTTGGGTTCTCAGTGTTTCCGGATGTAGGTGAACTACATCTCCCATAAATTACTGTCAATTCCTCCCAAACTCCTCTAGTATTTTCTGTTAGTCATGGGGGTTGTGTGTGCCAAGTTTTGTCCCGGCCAGTAATTTGTGGGGAATCTCAGTGGGTCTGTGAAAGTCAGAGCTGAATTGGTTGAAGGTACTGCAAATCCCATCATCCGTTGTCCATACCCCCCAAACATATTGTTTTTGTGATTAGTCACTATGCTTTAATTATGTTCAATTTGTAACAATGAAAATACATCCTGCATATTAGATATTTGCATTAGAATTCATAAGAGTAGCAAAATTATTAAGTAGCAACGAAAATATGGTTGGGGTCACCACAACACGAACTTTATTTGGGGGTCGCCGCATTAGAAAGGTTGAGAACCACTGGACTAGAGGATAGCGGCAATATGGAAAGGAATTTTGGAATTTTTACGACATTGGATTCTCCCATTGGTTTTGGCTTTACTGGCACGTTAATGTATTCTTAATTGAATGTATTGATGATTTTGTATATATTTTTTAAAATGATTTTACTGTTTTAATTGTAATTTTATGGTGTATGTGTTGTTAGCATCATTTGATGCTTATGTGAGGCTGCCCCGAGTCCCCTTATGGGGAGAAGGGCGGGGTAGAAATATACGAAATAATATAAATAAATAAAGCGGAAAAGGATTAGACAAAATAGGGGATTGGATAAAAGTTGGAATGAAGAAGGAAACAATTATGGAAGAATTTAGAGAAATAAAATTGACATGGTTCCATTGTATACAATTAGAACAATGGTTTAAAAATTGGGGAAAAAATAATAAAAACGGAAGTAAGCTTAACCAATTTGAACAAATAATACAAAATGGAAGGGTTGTAGAGGAGCATGAAAATTTGAAAGGAATAACTAGTAAAATATATAAGATAATAATTGAAATAAAGAAAGGAAAAACAAAAAACAACACCCTCAAGGAGGTTTAGGGATAAAAATAAATGAAACAGAGTGGCAACAATTATGGAGACAAAGACATCTAAAAATTTATCAATATGAGTTAAAGAAAATTATTATAAGTTAATATGGAAATGGTACCTAACACCAGTAAGAATAGCACATATAAATAAAAACTATTCAAAAAATTGTTGGAGAGGATGTCAAGAATCAGGAACATATATACATATGTGGTGGCAATGTAAATATGTAAATAATTTTTGGGGGAAAGTATTTAGAGAAATAGAAGATATAATGAATATTAAAATAGAAAGAAGTCCTAGTATAGCTTTATTATCATTATATAACAATAAACAATTGAAAAAAGAGGATAAAGAAGTGATACATTTATTAATAATAGCAAGATTGCTTATAGCAAGGAACTGGAAAAAAGAAAGAAATATACAAATAGAGGAGTTGTATAAGGAAGTATGGAAACTGGCAATAAATGATAAGCTGACATGTATATTAAAAGTTAAAAGAGGTATATGGAAACAAAGTGATTTTGATGATGTATGGAGAAAATTTATTGTAAAAGGATTAAAAAACAAAGAAGGAAAGTTACCTCCACAAGAAGAAATGAAATTTTGGACAGATGACATGTAAAAGTTGTGGCTTGAGAGGGGGGAGGGGAGCACAGCGGTGAGGAATAAAAAATATGTTTAAGCAGAATAATAATATTAGATGCCAAAGTATGTTAGGTTGTATTGAATAATATGTATCTGCTGTAAAACAAATGTATAACAAATGTATTAACTATGATAAAATAATAAAAATTATTAATAATAAATAAATAAATAAATGTAAATAAGTTGAGCATTACATAACACAGCATTTAACTCAAAAAATCACGCCAATGTTTAACATTCAGTCTTGTAACATTCATTTATTCTCCTTCTGTCTAGAAATTGCTTTCCAAAACAGACTGCAGCCCAGGTGACTCTCAAAGCGATTTCTTCCTATTTTGATGACTCCAGCCCTTCTTCCTTGAAGAACATATACTTCCTGCTTTTTGACAGCGAGAGCATTGGCATTTATGTGCAAGAGATGGCAAAACTGGATGCAAAGTAGTCACAAAAGCCAAATGAAGTTTTATTTTTCAACATGAATGGAGTAGGAATGAGAATTAGAATTGGGTTTTATTTTTAAAATATTGTGAGGACGGAGTATGTGAGTAGATTTGAAGTTCTGTGATGGGTGGAGGGCTTTTGTTATGGAAAACCGGGGGTGGGGTGGGGGCGTGTTTGGGAGAGTTTGATCTGCAATTATACCATGCTTTAGATACACTCTACCATTTTGTATGTTCCCAAGAAGTTACGTTGCCAGCTCTCTACATTTTAATATGTCTCAAGTTATTTTAGTTTAGGCCTTTGTAAAGTTTAATCTTTAGAGTGGTTGAGAAAAAAAAAAGAATTGTTTGCTTCACATTCTTTTCCCTCCAGTAGTTAGAAAACCTTCTGTTGTGTCTACATTCCATGTTGAGAAAGTAATTTCAAAGGAAACTCACTTGGTGCTTTACTGTTTTACCCCAGAATGACCTGTAATTGCTGAAAATACTTCATCTTGTTGTTTTTATAAAAAAAAAATGGCAGCATGCTTTTTTAAAACTTTAAACTTGAGCTTTTTTCACTCCTGTGTATTAAAGGGGGGAAACCACTTCAGATGGAAGCTTAAAGACGGAGATATTTTGAAACTTCAAGATGGTTCTTTCCTCGTAATGCAAGCAATTGGGGTCTGTCACTGTGAAATGTCCTTATTCACAGAATTAGTTGCATTGCAGTTTTGCAACTCAAAAATTATGCACACTAGGCCACAAAACATTTGGACATTAATTTTAAAGTAATGAAGAGGGATACACCAAAAACACCCAAACGTTGTTGTAACCATATTTATGAAGTAGAATTGAAGGGTTTTTTTTAAAAAAAAAATCCACTTAAGTGGTTTAATAATAATAATAATAATAAACCTTTATTTGTACCCTGTTACCATCTCCCGAAGGACTCAGTGCGGCTTACAAGAGGCCGAGCCCAAATACAACAATAAAACAGCAGCAACAACAACAACACAATAACTCAAAAACAAAGCAATAACAATTAACAAAACCCAATGGTGCAATTAAAAACAATGGCCGGGCCAAATGTAACAATTAAAATTAAAAGTGCTGGGCATGACAAGGTGGGGTGTTTGGAGGGGGATGGGCATGCAGATATCCTGGATCTCTGATAAAGTGCGTTGGGACATAATGCTAGGAGTTTCCTTATTCTGGAAAGGCACACTGGAACAACCACATTTTCAAGCTCCTCCTAAAGATTGCTAGCGACGGGGCCTGCCTGATGTCCTTAGGGAGAGAGTTCCAGAGTCGAGGGGCCACCACCGAGAAAGCCCTATCCCTCGTCCCCACCAATCGCGCTTGCGATGCAGGTGGGATCATGAGCAGGGCCTCTCCAGATGAACGAAGAGATCATGTAGGTTCGTACTCAGAGATGCGGTCACGTAGGTAGGCAGGTCCCAAACCGTTTAGGGCTTTGTAGGTAAGCACCTGCCTTGAATTGGGACCGGAAAATGAATGGCAGCCAGTGGAGCTCGTTAAACAGGAGGGTTGATCTCTCTCTGTAAGGAGCACCAGTTAACAACCTGGCCGCCGCCCGTTGGACCAATTGAAATTTCCAGACCATTTTCAAGGTCAGCCCCATGTAGAGTGCATTACAGTAGTCCAATCTGGAAGTGACTAAGGCGTGGACCACCCTGGACAGATCGGCCTTCACGAGGTACGGTCGCAGTTGGTGCACGAGTCTCAATTGTGCGAAGCCCCTCCCAGCCACCGCCGACGCCTGAGCTTCAAGCGACAGTGATGAGTCCAGGAGGACACCCAAACTGCGGACCTGTGACTTCAGGGGGAGTGTAACCCCGTCCAGCACAGGTTGCCACCCTATACCCCGATCCGGTTTACGATCGACCAGGAGGACCTCTGTCTTGTTGGGATTGATCTTCAGCTTGTTCTTCCTCATCCAGACAGCCACAGCGGTCAGACACTCGTCCAGCACCCGAGGGGCTTCCTTGGAGTTAGGTGGAAAAGAGTAGTAGAGTTGTGTGTCATCTGCGTAGAGATGGCAACCAACTCCAAAACTCCGGATGACCTCTCCCAGCAGTTTCATGTAGATGCTGAAAAGCATGGGAGACAGAATGGAACCTTGCGGGACCCCACAGGTCAAAGGCCAGGAGTCCAAGCAGGTGTCTCCCAGCTTCACCATCTGGGATCGACCCTCCAGGAAGGACCGGAGCCATAGAACCGTGCCCCCAAGGCCCATCCCGGAGAGTCGTCCCAGAAGGATACCATGATCGATGGTATCGAAAACCGCTGAGATGTCCAAGAGAACTAACAGGGTCACACTCCCCCTGTCCAGCTCGCTGCAGAGATCATCCACCAAGGCGACCAAAGCTGTCTCGGTGCCGTGGCCAGGTCTGAAGCCAGACTGTGACTGATCCAGGTAACTGAGAGGCGACCACCCGCTCCAGCACCTTGCCCAGAAAAGGGAGGTTGGAGATAGGTCTGTAGTTCAGCACCCTGGAGTAAGGGAAGGCTTTTAATAATATTTATAAATAATATTTATAATAATTATATATATAAAATATTTCTAATAATATTTATAAAAGTGTGTATACCAGCATGTTCTGTGAGGTTTTTGAAAGTAATTTAGTTTTTACATTGGGATAGGTGTGGATGTATTTATTTATTTGCCACACTTTTATCCTGCCCTTTTCAGCCTGAAGGCAACTCAGGGTGACATACAGACTGGCAACAATTAGATGCCGAACACACATAAATACATAGTTTTTATCCTAATCTGTGAACTTAGGAGTCTGGATCCACAACACACTTGCTGGGGGGGGGGGGGGGACCTCAACACGATTTTTGTCCCCTCGATTGCTCTTTAGGGAGTTCTGGGGCATTTCTACCATACTTTTGGGAGTTATAGTTACTGGGATTTATACTTCACCTACAATCAAAGAGCATTCTGAACCCATTTGGGGCAAACGTCCCACACAGAACCCCCATGACCAACAGAAAATACTTAAGGCCACCCAGTCCAACTCCCTTCACCAGGGCAAGAAAACGTAATCAAAGCCCTCCTGACAAAGAGCCATCCAGCCATAGATATAGATAGATATATATGATTCACACACACAGAGAGAGATAGTATCATAGATTTGAAAGGGACCCCTAAAGAAGGACAATTATATGTTGCATGTTCCAGAGTAGGCAAACCAGACAATCTCTGCATCAACACTGACAAAGAAACAGCAAGAAATACTGTTTACCCACAAGCATAAAGAAATTACATATATTAGAAACCAACACTTTCTCATTACTTTATTTTCCAGATCACCAGACTGGACCACAGCAACGTGTGGTAGGGGACAGCTAGTCTATATAAATAAAAATATAATGTTCGTTTGCGGGATTAACAGAACTCAAAAACCACTGGGCAAATTGACACCAAATTTGGACACAAGACCCCTAACAACCCAATGTGTGTCCACTCAAAAAAACTAATTTTGTCATTTGGGAATTTATAGTTTACTTACAATCAAAGAGCATTCTGAAACCACCAATGATGGAATTGAACCAAACTTGGCACACAGGACTTCCATGACCAACAGAAAACACTAAAAGGGTTTAGTGAGCATTGACCTTGAGTTTGGGGGTTGTAGTTCACTATATCCAGATAGCACTGTGGACTCAAACAATGATGGATCTGGACCAAACTTGGCACGGATACGGAATATGTCCAAATGTGAACATTGGTGGAATTGGGGGAATATAGACCTAGACATTTGGGAGTTGTAGTTGCTGGGATTTATAGTTCACCTACAATCAAAGAGCATTCTGAACCCCACCAACAATAGAATTGGGCCAAACCTCCCACACAGAACCCCCATGTGGGCCACAGCAACGCGTGGCAGGGGACGGCTAGTTTACAGTAAAAAAAAACAACTTAAGAACTATTAAGCATTTGTGGAAGTTTTAAAAAGCTTGATCACATGATTTAGAGATCTCCAAAGATCAGGCTGCTTCCGACATCAAATTAAGACTGGGACTCAGAACAAGTTGCTTTAAATGTAAGGGGGGGGGGGGATATGGAATGTAGATAAAAACTCAGCATACCACACACAGCATTGAATGATCAATTTGTTCCACAGACTGCATAGTCTGCTGCCTTTTTAATTCGAAAACTCAGTCCAATTCCGCAAAATTTATGTTAACATGAATTAATAAAAATGAAGGTCCAATGTTAAATGCAGCTTCAGTAGAAATCTATTAAATGTACAACATAGATATGCATTTTTTTCCTGAGAAAATTATTCTGTTCAGTCCTTCACTGCTTTCTTAGCTCATTAGATGTACTGTATACTATTATTGGCACTGGTCATGTAACATTTTTCTTGCTTCCTTTTTCGTTTATTAGCAAGGCATATGCTGACCCATTTTCTTCCAACTTTTTGAGACAAAAAGATCTTTGCTTTTGGCAACAGTAACTAAGAAATGCCCAATGTAGATTCCACTAATCTGCCCAACTCCATCATTTCTTCCCATTGAAATCAGGAAGGTAAGTGATCCTGAAAGGAAAACAGAAAATATTATTTACAGTGTGTTATTTGATTTGAGTTAACATTTTAATTCTAGTTATTGGCCAAATCTGGGGACTCGGGGCGGCTTACATGAGGCCAAGCCCAACAACACATCAATATAACAAAAAGCAATAAGCAAAAATTAATATAATATACAATTAATATAAATCACATATAAACAATAACACGCAAGGATTTAAAAACCTATGGCCGGGCCAAATGTAATAGTTGGCCATGAACAGAGGTAGGATGTATCTGATAGGAGGGTTTTAAAAGAAATGAAGGGAGAGCAACCCAACAATAACAATAATAATATAATAAACCTTTATTTGTACCCCGCTACCATATCCCGAAGGACTTAGTGCAGCTTACAAGAGGCCGAGCCCAAATACAACAGTAAAAACAGCAGCAACAACAACAAACAACAAAATAACTCAAAAAACTAGGCAATAACATTAACAACACACAATGACGCAATTAAAATCAATGGCAGGGCCAAATGTAATAATTAAAATTAAAAGTGCTGGGCATGACAAGGTGGGGTGTTTGGAGGGGGATGGGCATGCAGATATCCTGGATCTCTGATAAAGTGCGTTGGGACATAATGCTAGGCGTTTCCTTATTCTGGAAAGGCACACTGGAACAACCACGTTTTCAAGCTCCTCCTAAAGATTGCTAGCGACGGGACCTGCCTGATGTCCTTAGGGAGAGAGTTCCAGAGTCGAGGGGCCACCACCGAGAAAGCCCTATCCCTCGTCCCCACCAATCGCGCTTGCGATGCAGGTGGGATCGTAAGCAGGGCCTCTCCAGATGAATGAAGAGATCGTGTGGGTTCGTACACAGAGATGCGGTCACGCAGGTAGGCAGGTCCCAAACCGTTTAGGGCTTTGTAGGTAAACACCTGCACCTTGAATTGGGACCAGAAAATGAATGGCAGCCAGTGGAGCTCCTTAAACAGGAGGGTTGATCTCTCCCTGTAAGGA